TGGAAACCACAGTTGTGGGTTCAATTCCAGACCTGAAGGGCAGCTAGGGGCCATAGTCTCAGTGGTTCCACCAGGCTCCACTGGACCAGCAAACCTGGTCCCCACCTTCAGACCACTTTATTAACACCTTGATGTTGTTAGCTGCAGTGGGGTCAGTCTCTGACTCGTGGTGACCCCATGCACAATGCAGTGAAACATTGCCTCGTCCCACCCCGTCCCCATGATCGACTGTGGACTGAACCTTTGTGATCTATAGGGTTCTCGTTGGTCGATTTGTGGAAGTAGATCACCAGAGCTTTCTTCCTAGTCTGTCTCAGTCTGGAAGCTCTGCTGAAAGCTGTCCAGCATCAAAGCATCATGCAAACCTCCAATGACAGATGAGCAGTAGCTGCCCGTGAGGCGCAATGTCAGGGACTCGCCTCTCCTGCATGGAAGGCAAGAATTCTGCCACCGAACCACTGCTTCCTCTGCTCATTTACATCAAAGGACCTCCTAAAACCAGAGAGTGTAGCAAGTAAGAGCATTAGAACTGGAGTTCACAGCCTGGGTTCAAATTCTGACACTATCACTTGCCAACTAGATAAGTCTGAGTGAGTTACCTAATCCTGCTGTATCTGTTTCCTCATCTGTAAATTGGAGACAATAGCACCCACTACATGGGGCTGATGAAAGAATTAAACTGATGCCTAAACTTGTCTGGAACTGGGCATAAAGTAAGTGCTCAGTAAATGTTTAAAAACAAAATGGCAACTGGAGACAATGAACCATGCTCTATGCTTAAATTCCTCACGACTGAGCCAATAAGCAAACAACAGCACGACAAGAACAGATTGAAGTTGTCAAGGATTTCATTTCATTGGATTCACAATCAATGTCTATGGAAGCAACAGTCAAGAAATCAAACAATGTATTGCATTGGATAAATCTGCTGCAAAAGATCTCTTTAAACTGTTAAAATGCAGAGATGTAACTTTGAGGACTAAGGTGCGACTGACCCAAGTCATGCTCTTTCAATCACTTCATATGCATGCAAAAGATGGACAATGAATAAGGAAGACCAAAGAAGAATTGATGTATTTGAATTGTGTGTTGGTGAAAAGTATTGAATACCCCATGGACTACCAGAAGAACAAATAAATCTGTCTTCGAAGAAGTACAGTCAGAATGCTCCTTAGAAAGGAAGACGGTGAGACTTTGTCTCACATACCGTGGACATGTTCTCAGGAGGGACCAGTCCCTGGAGACAAACACTGTGCTTGGTAAAGCAGAGGGACAGCAAGAAAAGAGGAGGACCCTCAAGGAAGTGGACTGACACAGTGGCTGCAACAATGGGCTCCAACAGCAATGATTGTGAGGACGAGGCAGTGTGTCGTTCTATCGTACGTAGGGTCGCTGTGAGTCGGAACCAACTTGACAGCACCTAACAACAATACCACACTTAGATTATGTGTGCTTTTCTGCATACGTGATACGTCAACAAAATGTTAAAAACAAAAGAGAAATATTGGCTGTGTTTATGCAGCTGTGAACAAATTTAGTGCCTGTTGGTCTCTTGCTAAAGGGGGTACTCGTTCCCGGCCTGCAAAGTGTGATCTTGGCACCGTTATGTGTTCAGAATTTTGATGCTTTATTTCATTTCTGTTCTTTCCTTCCCCTCTCTGACCTCCTCTAAAGGTTCACTCAAAGAAATGATTGCCCACCCCTGTCACTGCTTAGCTGACAAAATGGTGACACAGTTAATGACTTTTGTTTTGGTTTAGTCAACGCAGCTTTCAAATTGTCACACAAACACACAGATGCCAGTAGTTTCCAAGTGAATCACAAAGCAGCTAAAGAAACCGAGCTGTGTACCAGCATGAGATCCAACACAGATTCACAGGCGGTACACTGACTAGCAGTTTTCTCGAACAGCATAAATAGAGCGCAATAGCCAATTTTATAATTAGCTGGGAATTGGTCTCCAGTTAAGTGTCTGCTTGGTGAAAATGGCCAAGCTGTTGCCTGGAGAGAGGCCCGTGTGCCCTGCTTTTTTCTCAGGGCACTGGCAGACTTGAGATTTCTTTGTTTTATTACATTTGAGTCCAGGCATATCTTGTATTATTGCACTTCACAGATACTGCGTTTTTTCACAGATTGAAGGTTCGTAGCCACCCTGAATTGAGCAAGTCCATCAGCACCGTTTTTCCAACAGCATGTTTTCATTTCGTGTCTCTGTGCCACATTTTAGTAATAACAAAAAACTCACTGTCGTCGAGTCGGATCTGACTCATAGCGACCCCTCCTTGGGTTTCCAAGGCGGTATCACTACGGAAGTAGATTGCCCAACCTTCCTTCTGAGGGTTTGAACCTGCAGCCTCTAGTTAGCAGTCAAGTGCCTTAGGCACTATGCCACCAGAACTCCTATATTTTAGTAATAGACTACAGTATTGTGCAAACATAACTTTTATACACACTGGGAAACCAAAAAATGTGTGTGATTCACTTTATTGCAATATGTGCTTTATTGCTGTGGTCTGGAACCAAACCTGCGATACTTCCAAGGTATGCCTGTATGCTTCAGGGTGGATTGTTTACAGCTCAGGATTTGAGCTGAGCATGTGGGCAGCATACTCAGGAGGAAGGCACAAGGTGGGGTCTATGGGTGAGGTGCCAGCAAAATAGGCCCAGCGCAAAATTAATGTGGACCCTGGTTCAAATTATTAAGAATTTCAAGATGGCAACAGTCGACCATTAAACCAAGTATAGGGCCTTTGTCATTGCAGGGCCCTGTGTGACAGCAATGGAGCTCTGGTGGCTCAGTGTGAAGGCACAGGGTTAAGCACTGGTCTACTAACTGTAAGTGTTAGCAGTTCAAACCCCACAGCTTCTCTGTGTGAGAAAGATGTGGCAGTCTGGATACTCTATGAAGTAGTTCTACTATGTTTCATAGGGTCGCTAGGAGTCAGAATCAACTCACTGGCAAATAGTGCCCATTTTGTATTTAACTGGGAATTGGTCTTCAGTTCAGTGCCTCAGCAGAAAAGGCTGGTGATCTACTTCTGAAAAATCAGCCAGTGAGAGCTGTCTGGAGCACAGTCCTCCTGTGACACACGTGGGTCACCCTGAGTCAGAATTGACCCAACAGCAAAAGTTTGGCCACTCCAGCCCCATCACCACCACATGGCTTCCCAGTAGGGGTGTGCGCCTGACACCAACTCCCTCCATCTCTGTGTCTCTTGGTTAAACAGCATGAGAGGCACTGATTGGCCCATCTGATGGATGGTACCTCTGTGGTCTGGTGCTTTGGTCTAGTCACCTCTGGCAGTGGGGAAAGAAGAGAAGAGAAGAGGTGTTCAGATGTTATAAAAAGGAAAAATCAGGGCTGTGGAAGTCAGATTCACAAATAAGGAGGTGTGGGTAGGGAGGTATGTTAGACTGGGTTCTCTAGAGAAACAAAATCAGTAAAGCTTATATAGAGAGAGAAAGAGAAATTTATCTTAGGAAAATGGCTCACACACTTATAGAAGCCGGCAAGTCCAAAGTTCTTGGATCAAACGTCAAGCTGGAGGCTTTTCCCTACTGTTGCAGCTGCAGGGGCTGAGGAGCTCAAGGTTAGCAGGCAGTACACTGGCTGTTGACTCCAACTAATGATGAATCCAAGATCTCCAGGCCAAATGGTGGATTGTTCGCTCACAGACAGTTGTAGGCAGCACAACAGAATCCTGATCCACAGAAGAGTGTCTCTTTCCCCGTCATAAATATACTGGAAGCAGGCCACACCCCTAGGGAAACTCCCTTTCAATGGATTAGCTGCTTAAAACACATTCATCTAATCCAATCATGGGAATAACCACATCACAACTGCTTAAACCACACAGAATTGTGGTCCAGCCAAGTTGACACACAGCTCCAACTATCACAGGAGGAGATAGTAGACATTTCTGTAACAGTTTGGTAAGGTGTTGCATGTAATTTCCTCACCTCTCTTGGGGTTTGATTCCCTCTAACTAATGCCTAGTGTGCCATTCTTATTGTTGTGTTCCACCAAGTCACTTCTAACAGTGACCCTAGGAACAGAGTGGAACTGTCCCATAGGGTTTCCTATGCTGGAATCTTCATGGAAACAGACCACTATGTCTTTTTTTCCACAGAGCCATTGTTGGGTTTGAGCTGCCCACTTTTGGGCTAGCAGCCAAGTACGTAGCCACTGTGCTATCCCTCTAGGTTGTCAGAAACCTTCCCCTGGCCCGAGAAAGTGGCAAGAAGCAGAGCGCTGTGGTCCTCTCTCTGTCCTCTGCAGTGCTGTTTGTTTCCAAGTGATTCTGCGGCGGACATAGGTAGCTGGTCACTTTGCTGATGCCAACAGAAGCATGACTTACACAAGGCATTGGGTGGAACAATGCTTCACCTGCATAGAGAAGAGCAGGATCAGCTCTGGTCTTCTGGGCCAGGGGGCACTGCTCTCCCAGGCCAGCAGGTCACTCCCTGCAGCTGACACAGGGCTGGTAGTCTGAGCACACCCCTTTCGTGCTGCAGTTGAAAGACCTCATTCCCTCCCTTCTGGGTGCAGATACAGAAATGAGGTATATGACACAGGCAGGTGAGCAGAGCAGAGAAAGTTTACTGTGTACCCAGAGCAGGGAGGGAGGCTCCCTAGTAAGGAGAAGGAAGAGAGAGAGAGAGGTAAGGCTCAGTTACCAGCCTCCACTATTAGAGAGTTGTCTAGGCTCAAGGCTTTTGATTAGGTGTCCTTGGTAAGAGGGGCCATGGCCGACCGTTCTCCCAATAGCTGATACTAGAAGTAAGTCCTCCCCCTTGAGAAACATACTCAGAAAGCTCTCCCCACTCACAGAGCCCCCAGGCTCCTCATTGGGGAACAGCAAGGCGTCAGGCCACTTCCTGATCAGACTTTGCCTGACTCCCTCCTCTCTCCCTACTTGTTACAGCTCTGGCTCCTCCTCAGTCCAAATGAATCTGCTTCCCCAGAAGAGTCTCCCACAGCCACACCCTGCTCACTGCCCCCGTTCCCGGCTGTCCTCAGCCCAAAGCTTGTCCATGGATGGCTTCTGGACGGAGCTGGAGCGGATCCAACAGCAGGAAGAGCTGAAAGAGGAGGACAGTGGTGGGAGTGAAGGCTGGCTTCCTGAGGGTAAGGAGCACTGGCTGGGATCTGGAGGGTGGGTGGGAAGACCTTATTCCAGGGGGAGAAATGTGAGAGGGTCCCACCATAAAGAGACACAAAAGGCTTTCATCTCTTACCTGGACTGTTGCAGTATCCTCTTCACTGATCTCCCTTGTTCCCAATGGTCTATTCTCCACAAAAGTCAAAACGATCTTTTAAAAATGCAAATAAGATCACCTCCTTCCTTTAATTAATTCACTCAGCAGATATTAGCAGAGTGCCTGATTTCTGCCAGGCAATGTTTTAGGCATTGGGGATACAGCAGTGAACACAAAACACAGTCTCTTGTCTTGTGGAACTTACATTCTAGTGCAATTCTAAGTCCTCTGCTTGAAATTCTCAAATGTCTCCCCATCTCTTTCAGAGTAATAGACAACCACATGTCCCCGTCATCTATTGCTGCGTAACAACAAACCACCCCAAAATTAGTGATGTAAAGCAACAACAACAATTATTATTACATTTCATTGTTTCCTTGTTGCCTGGCCTCGCTCAGGTTATAGGCAGATGATGACCAGTTCTAGAGTTATCTCAAAGCATGCTTACTCATGGGCCTGGTGGTTGATGTGACTGTTGGCTGGGCCTCATGTGGGGCTGTTGGTTGGAACATGTGGCCCCTGCATGTGGCCAGGCAGAAGCTGTATCACCATTTCTGACCCAGCTTAGGAAGTCAGACAGCACTGCTTCCCCCACCTTCTATTTCCCTAAGTCCAGCTCATGTTCAAGGGGAGAGGAATTAGGTTCCACCTCTTGACGGGGTAAGGGTCAAAGACGTTGTGGGCATGTTGTAAATCCACCACATCACAGCTTGCAGTGCTTGCCAACTCGGGGCCATACTACTCTGCCTCATTCTTCCCACTCTGTCTTCACACCACTCTTGTCACTCTGGCCTTAGTGCTGTTCCTGGACCATAAAGGTATGCTTGCACCCCAAGTGCTTTGTCTTTACTGTTCCCTGTGGCTGGAATGCTCTCCCCCAGGTATCTGCATGGCTTGTTCTCTCCAATCAGAGGTAGACCCAATTGTCACCTCCTCAAAGAAATCCTTATGTAAAATGGCACCCCCTGCTCCCATCGCTTTCTAGCCCCTTGTCTTGCTTTATTTAATGTGGCAGCACTCATCACTGCCTACATTTATCTATATGTCCCATTAGTATGTAAGTTCCATGAGGCCAGGGACATTGTCATCCATTTCCTCAGTGCCTAGAACAGTGCTCAGCACATACAAACATGCCATGTTTCTGAGACCAGTGAGTGAGGGAACAAATAGCATGTCCACAGGCACACTGTTTCAGTGTGGCACACAATTCCACTGTGTTAGTCCATGGCTGACAAAGCAAACTATGGGAAAAACCCAGATCTCCCAAGAGCCTGGCAGTTGATTGCAGTGTTTCCCAAATGGGCAGTGAAAACCCCCGACGGTACAGGAGAAGGTTTAGGAGATGTGCTCCATTGCAAGCATCATGATGTAGCCATAAATCTAATCTCAAACAAAAGATGTGGATTGGTGTCGGCTCAGGGAGACTGCTTGAGGGGCAGGAGGGCATGGGAGGGAAGGACACTGAGAAGGGATAACTATGAGGAGGAAGTGGGAGGAGAGCTGTTACATTGTGGGGAATTGCAGTCAAAAGACAAAATGTATATGAACTGCTGTATGGAAAATGAATTTGCTCTGTAAATTTTCACCCAAATCACAATTTTTAAAAAGAGAAAGAGAGATGGATTGAGACCGAGGTAGGAAAAGGAGAAACCTCTTTGGACAACTAAACACACAGGAGCTTTTTTATTTAGATTTACTGGGCACAGAACAGCTAGCTGCAGGGTATGGAGTCCATGAATGTTAAATGATTCTTTATTCTTCCATGAATGTCTGGTTATGGCAAGTGATATTGGATGCTCTATTTATGGCGGGGATATTGTTTTTTTTAAAACTTCTGTTTAAGAACACAATGGCCCAAGAAAGCTGTTTCGTTAATAATTGTAAGAGGTAATTAGATATAGAGGAAAAGTATGAGGATGGTAGCTCAATGTTTGGTCTTCAGGTAATGCTGTTTTTTTTAAAACATACTGTGGTTACAAACCAAGGGCTGTTGCTGCTAAGTCAGTTCTGACCCTTGGCGACCCCATGTGTTACAAAGCAGAACTGGGCTGCATCCGGCTTTGGACACTGTGATCTTCTGGAAGTAGGTCACCAGCCCTTTCTTCCAAGGTACCTCTGTGGGGGCCTGAAACATCACCCTGTCCGTTAGGAGCCCAGCACGTAACCATTTGTGTCACCCAGGGCTCCTGATCCTGTGGGTAGCAGGAGGGAAAAACAGTCCTGGCATCCCCGTCGGATCAGTGCCTCCACCACCAGCACACGTTCAGGGCAGACCTCAAAGCTGTGGCTGCCCTGGGGACTTTGGTGCTGTGAATATCTGCAGGGGAAACGTTGGAGAAAGATTCTCATCTCTGGCTTATTTGCACAACCAAGGCTGCCATGAAAGCAGGTCTCATTTTCGTTTTGTGTTTTAAACCATGAGGACCTAATTGACTAACTTGGTCAGCACTAGTCACAACCAGGAGCTCTGGTAGCATAGTGCCTAAGGCATTTGACTGCTAACGGGAAGGCCAGTGATTTCAACCCACCAGCCACTCCTCAGAAGGAAGGTTGGGCAACTACTTCTGTAGTGATACTGCCTCGGAAACCCAAGGAGGGCTCGCTATGAGTCGGATCCCACTCGACAGCAGTAAGCTTGGAGCTTGAGTCACAACTAAGTATACCTCCCTCTAAGCATCTCCCAAAGTATCCACCCCTAGTCCTCTCACACATGTGTACACTTCCTCCTTGCACTCTCATACAGGTCCCCCATAACAATGCAGGAACACACCAAGCCTGTGTTTCTCTAAGTGTGATCTGAAGACCCCATTGCATTAGAATAATCTGGGGAGGATGTTCAAAGTGCAGGTCCCAGTGCAGGAGATCCTGGATAGAATGGGAGAACAGTGTGGAACAAAACTCAAAATCATTGGCGGTGGAGGGTGGTGGGGAAGACCAGGTTTGCTGGTCTGATAAAGCCTGGTGAAACTCCTGAGACTATGGCCCCTACTATCCTTCAGATCTGGAAATGAACTCACTCCCGTGGCTTCCAGCCAAACAATAGACAGTCATATGGGGTGAACATTTACATCAGGTAGATACACTCCTTAGAGTGATCAATTGTGGGAGAACAGAATGGCAGTATTTGCCAAGAAAGATAGCTCAGGGGGCAGGAATCCATAGGAAAGAAGGACACAAGGAAGAGGAATTCCAGGGAGGAAGTGGGAAGAGAGCTGTTACATTGTGGGGATTGCAGTCAATGTCATGAAACAAAATGTGTGTGAAGTACTCTATGGAAAATGAATTTGCTCTGTAAACTTTCACCCAAATAAAAATAAAAATTAAAATAAAATTTAAAAAATGTGCAGGTCCCAGGCCCCGCCGCTGAATTCCTACAGCAGAATCTCTGGAGGGGGGACCCATGCACCTGCAGTTTCAACATGCCCCATGATTCGGGTTAATGCTTTTTGCTGTAGGGCTCTGGCAGTGTCTGTCTGAAGCCCAGTGAAGGGGACTATTCCAACACAAAGAAAGTCCTGAGCAAGGGGACCATTAACTGCTTGCCAACACTCTGGTTTCCCTTATCTGTGCTGCACAGCTGGGCCCATGTGACCCTGCAGTGCTCTCTGTTAGACGCAAGAAGGAGAGTGAATTCATGGTCATATTCTAGAAGCAGAACAGAGAGGGGCCTTGCTCAGCCTGCTCCGTGTTTACGAGGGGTTGCAACCCTGGGGGTGGAAATCCAGGTACTGGCTGACACCCATCAATACACGCCCCCTCCAAGTTCTCAGAGGCCTTCTTTGCTAGATCTTCTCCCCATTGATGAGCTTGGTTGATGTTAATGACATTGAGGTGTCTCAGGATCCAGTATGTGCTTACTCCTATGTCCCTGTGAGTGTGTGTGCCCTAGATGTGGCTTTGGCTACTGTGTGTGACTGAGTGTGTAGTTGTGTGTGTTCATCTGGGCGTTGTCCCTCTGTTGGCAGAGGATGAAGCTGAATCCCAGTGGCTGCAGGACACAGGCCTGTGGGACCTCCTTGATGGCCTGGGTGCAAATGGTGACTACCAGAAGCTCTTGTCCACCCTTACACGGACCCAGGTGGCCGCTGTGTGCCGCAGGCTGGACGTCTATGCCCGCTCAACCCGAAGACGACACAAAACGCCTGTCAGAGATGTCAGAGACATCTTTGGAGTCTTTGATTCAGGGGTAAGTGGCATGAGGAAATCACAGCATGGGAGTCACAGCAGACCCTGTCTGCCCAGGGTCTCTGTGATGCCATCACAACCTGAGAGAGACAGTGTTACTGCTGCAGGGCTGTGCTGGTGCACACAGGTGCATGTGTGTGTGTGTGCATACATGTGTGTGGAGTGCATGTGCTTGCACACGTGTGTGTTTCCCTGCATGTCACCATGTCCCTGTTACAAATGGGT